TTTTTTTTTTTAAGGACACTGTACACCAAGCTTTCAGCGAATAGTTTTTTAAGCTACTATTTTGTGTCAGTCAAACTGTATTATCTTTGGTATTTTTCATAGATGCAACTGTAACAAATTATGTGTTTTTGTTACAGGCTGCTCGAAACAAAGTGCCTAAAGATACTGTTTAAAATAGGTTCTTTGCTAATTTGTCACAACACCGGTTCATCACTTGAGTTGGATTTGTTGTTTATGCTCGAATGATTCATAGGTCAGTGTTAAGTGGCTTAGTAAATAATAACGATAAAAAAACATTCCTTTGAAAATGATTCACACTATTTTGCTCAAGACCACTTTAAAACGTTACAAGATAGTTTGATTCCTTGGAAGAAAAAGGGTGACTCAAGACTTGCACAACACTTCACGTACGACTGAAAAACAGGAAACGCTCAGTAACCGTGTGTTATTCTCTATGCTCGAATCAGTTTGTGGTCAACTGTTTTTAAAACCTGGACTGAACTAGAGGGAAGCTCTTAGTTTTCTCAAATATTTTTATTTTGTACTATAGTGTAGTGTAGTGGTGCATCAGTTGTGTTTCTTCCTTTTCAAATCTTTTTTTACTGCAGGGAGGAAGCAGTGCAGAAGTTCACGGGGAAGACTGACCCCATAGAGGTGCTGAGGGTCCTGCGAAAAGAGAAGGACAAATTCAAGAAGCCCAAGGAGAGACTTCCTCCTCACGCCATGCTGGCTCTGGAATGGGGGCTCCTCAGACCTTGAAGTCCACTTTCACAGGCATCAGCAGTAGTATGTAAATCAGTTAACCAGAGCTAACAGAATGAGGATGAGGGTGAAAAACTGAATGCAGCGAGACACAAGACCTGTAGAGTGCATTGTTTTGTTGCTTTAAAACAAAGTCTGACCAATACACCCCTGAGTCCTGGTTAACCATCAAGTGGCAACCCCATCTTTTCATTTAAAATGCAGTACAAAGCTGCTGTCATTAAATATTCCTCAGAAACAAATTAATTTAGAGGCCGGTCTCCCAGTCTCTTACACACTAACTGCACCAGTTAACGTCTGTTAATACCAATTTTCAGTAAAACTGTCAAGATTACATTTTGTGTATTTATTGATTCAAATAACTGGTTTTGGAAGAAATGTAACCTTCAGTTATTATTATTTGTATGCATGTGAAACTTTCATTGCTTTGATATTTACTATTTCTGTTTTTTTAGACATTTTTCTGTCTGGCAACATTGCTACAGTTCTCTCATTTAACTTTTTTGGTCAGTTTAGAGATGATGTATATGTGTGTGTGTGTGTGTGTGTGTGTGTGTGTGTGTGTGTGTGTGTGTGTGTGTGTGTGTGTATATATATATATATATATATATTTCCCAGTGTCTTTGTCCTCTTAATTTTGCAAGTGAAACCTTCAGATCTAATTGACCTTAATTTAAGTGAATTTGTTTGTCATTTAGACTCTACCTTGTGCTCACTATTTTGGGACAGGTATCGAATATGTTAAAGTGTATTACAAGGGTAGAAAAATACATGCAGTGTACATCACTATGAATGTAAATTGCTGATTTTCATCCCAAAGATTACATGCACAAAATACAAGAGCCTAAAAGCTGTATATGGGAGTCAAAAGATTCTTTAATAAAACATCGGTCTCAATTCATATTCAGGACTGTTCTTTTTTCAGTAACTTATAAAACACACAGCTATAATTAATGTTTATTTTCAAAATGTGTACACACATAACGATCAAATCAATGAATACATTTTGCTTACATTTTAACAGCTTTTTGCATATTTACTAAGAATATATGAGCTTGTTGGCTGTGTCAACTTTATACCAAAGTTTTCAGCAGCACAAAGGTGGCCCAGTGGCTAAATCACTGGGATGACTTTTGCCGAACCTGTTCGGTAGCGGGTTACCTTCAGTGTTTCGGTTTAAAAGCAGGTTAAATGGCACATTTTCCTCTTTAAATGCAATACAGATTCTCTGCTGGTGGAATACCTTTCATATGTGCACGTCATTAAGCCGTATCTTAGTAACATCACAAATGAAGCTCAGCTGTAAAGCATCATCTCTGATTAGAATTGGATGACACTCATAGGGATCATTTTGTGTGCAAGAGGAGTCGTGTGATGTGTGAAATGCTCATTTTTTAATGTGAGTGTACATAGAACCTGAAGCAGAAATGCCAGTTTAACAGAGAAACTTGATAACCACCTCCATTATTGCTGACTCTGGTTTTAGGTTTTGTCAAGGCAGCTAAGGAAGAGACAGCCTGACTGTGTTGGTCTTCTTTCATTGTATACCCCTCTGCCATAAAGCTTTTAGGTGAGGAAAGTGTTTTACAAAGAGGTATTAGCAAACAAATATTATATATTTGGACAATCTGTAGACACAGCCTGTCCAAAATTTGTGCAAAATAAAACTCTGCAGAAACACTCTGCTGGACAACAAAAAACATGTATCACCACTTCATAGCGAGACCATTGGTCATTTTTTCCACAGTGTGATATTGTGTGTGTAACAGCTCTTTGGCTCTTTCATCTCCTACACTGTTGAGCCAGGACTGGTACAATTCAGCTACGCGAGCGTCATCTTCTGGCAACAGGGGGCGCTCTGCTTTGTAGAGATCCTCAACTTTCTGGAGGAACTCCTTTTGGTTTTGGCCAGTTGAGGGCTTCACCTGCCCGCCGCCATTCAGGCATCCTGAACAAGAGGTAAAGACAAACATTATATCTGCTAACATTAAATAACAAACGGCAAGCTGATGTGACTATTGTGGACTTTCTGTTTGTTGGTTATTCCCCTGACGATGTAATGCATGCATGTTGTACTATTCACTTCACAGATGTGACTAAATGTTGCATCTTATAATTTCATTTATATGTAGCGATGCCATTTTTAACACATTCTGACCAGCTTATCGCTTAGCGTGGCTAATTTGCATGTAAAAATGCTAGTGCTGAGGTAACAATTCAGTCTCTTATGTGGGTAACCTCCTATTCTAATAGGTCAAAAGTTCAATGGCTCACATGAAAAGAAAAAAGAAAAAAAGGTATCTGGAAAGTTGAACATCTGTATTTTTCACCTCACCTGATGGGCAGGCCATAACTTCAACAAAGTGGTATGGCGACTTTCCCCTCTTGAGTTTTTGCACCAGGTTCTGAATGTTGCGGAAGCCGTAGGCTGAGGCAAAGCACAGCAGGACAACGCCATCTTTCTCTAGACTCACCTCCTGGAAGTCTTTATTCCTGTGGCAGAGTGTGATTGTGTCGGGTTCTTGCATCATATAAATCAACAGAAACTGAACATTCCCCTGACATGGTGGAGTGGCATAATCAGTCTCATGAGTAGTGTTACTTTGAGATGATCTAGCTACTGTGAATGTGCATCACGAGCACAGAATGTGTCCTCATTTATATTTGGTTTTGAGCTTGGCTGTTCCAGGACACATCACACCACCGTGAAGCGCTTCTGCTGCTTTAAGAAGAGGCGACATGCTCACCTGAGGGTCTTGTAGGTAAGATTCTTCACCTCCTCTCCGAAAAGGTGCTTGGCAGCATGTGTAAAAACGTGATGCAGGTAACCTCCTGATCCACTCCCAGCATGACTCAGGAACTCATCTCCACAGAAACTGCTGAACCTGTGATAAAAAAAATAATAATAAATGAATAGGGAATGAGTCTAGCTATGCAGGTGGAATTGTATAATTACTTTATGTGAGTGAATTATTAAATTTTAAAAAAATGCAAAATGAAAAAGAACGTACATTGTATCTGGGGCAGCAGACTCCAGATCATTAAGGGACACATTTTCCTCCTCCAGCATTTTCAGAACCTCCCCTTTAATAGATAGGAAAAATAAGACCGACGATAATGCGAGTCCATACGCACAAAGACCACTATAGGAGTAATCACTGTACCAGACGTGATGACACAATCCACTTCACGGGTCTCAGCGTTGGGCATGTAGAAGTCTGACCGTGAAGCCTCAAGTTTCTTGTCAAAGCAAGGCATTACTGCCACATGGTAGATCTGCTGTGGACTCAGCTCCTAAAAATACATGGAACACACATTTCAGCAGCCTCTCTTTTTGAGACTTTTGAACTGTGTATATTTACACCACTCCTCAACAAATACAAAGCTCACCTGTCGTTCAGCAAAATAGCTTTTGACCAAAGATCCCATCATCTGCTGGGGGGAGCGAGTGGTACTAATAAATGGAAGAATATACTCCCCGTGAGTCTTCTCTGCATAACAGATCCACCCTGAACCAAAGACAGACACTTGCCTAAGAGAGTCCAGGCTGGGTTGAAGAATAAAGTTGGTCAGACTAATTATTGACTTTCAAGCTTGTTAGAATTGTACAAACTCTGTGTACCCATTATCTACTCTATTTCAGTTTCATTTTGCACATTTCAATAAATCACTCCATCTATTTCCACCATTTTTCTAGCAAAATATAAAGAAATGAAGGGTGGCCCAAGACTTCTACACAGTATTATGTCAGTTATGTGGCCCATCACTGTTAACTAACCCAACTGCATACTGGATTACTAGATATTATTTGACACTGGAGGACTGACTTCTGTTAATTTAACCTTTGATCAAATCAATAAATATACCAAGTAGCTAATAAAATTTTAAACATTCTTTCTTTGTGAGAGTGGAACATTTATTTATTTTATTTTTTTTACACAAGGACAGTAAACGATGAAAGACAAACAAGGATGACGTGAAAAAGGCAGGACCCTCCAACATCACTAATTTTACTTTGTGCTCCTGAGTGTTTCTGGTGGAATACCTGGACAGGCTGACGTTAGCATGGGCAGGGCCTTACTATCCTGTTCCTTCCTTTGGAAACGCTCCACAAACTCTCTCTGACTTTCCAGCAGACTAAAGGTCCGACTGAAGCTGGTATCAAACACATGATGAACTCCTGCAACAACAGTAACAACAACAATTTTCAGAGGTGACTATGTCAACCTAAATAAGCCCATTGTTTGAATGCATATTTACACTCACCAAGGTCTTTGAAGAACGAGGTAAGCCTCCTGCCTGCCTCACTACTGCTCAGGTTATAATGTGCTGCCAGGGAGGCTCTGGCCTGTGGTGACACTGACACCACCACAATCTTTTGCTCTGTCTCATTGGCCTGAAGTTGAAATGATTCACAGGTGAAAATGATGCCAGGCTAAATTATTAGTCTCATGTAAGTAGCATTCAGACGACGTAACTCTACCTTGTTCCTACGGAGCACTTTGAAGAGCTCTTCATGGCTTTGCTGTGTGATGAGGACACTCTCAGCTGAGGTGATACAGCCACTGCAGGCCAAACAGTCGTTCAGTGTGATCTTTGCTTTCTCCAACTTCTGCTTCCCACCATCCTAAAAACACATTTGATGAACTCAAAATATGGGGCGGTGCAATACCTGAAATTCAACAACTCAAACTCAAGCCTTTAAACCCACCTTGTTGACTTGTACATAACTGCCATCATCTTCTATCTGTATTTTGGCCACAGATTTACCTTGTTTCTTCTCTACTTTGACAGGCTTAACACATTCCTGCAGAAAAAAGTCAACAAGAAAAAAGAAATTAGCAATTTTTTAAATGCTAAATCCATATACAATGTTCTTTTAATTCTTTTATTGTTCTCAATTTTGGGGTTTGCCACAGTGGATCATCTTCCACCACCTGGCCCTAGTATCCCCTCCTGTCACACCAACTCTCTGCATGTCCTTTTTCACTACATCCATGAATCTCACTAAGGTCTACCTCTTTTCCCCATTCCTGCTTTCTCTGGTTCCACAAAGACACAGTGCAACACCTTCATACCTTCTCTATCAACACTCTCAAAGCAAACATTGCTCCTTCTCGGAGCAACATACTGAAACACATACTGCTGCTCACTGATTGGTCACCTTCACCTTAGGTCTTCTTAACCTAACTTCCACACCTTTTTTTCTCATATCTTCATGGTGTGGCTCATCAGCTTAATCTGGTTAAAAGGTTCACTAGGCATTTCATTCCTCCATAGGTATGTCATCTCGATCAACCGTCTTTCCATTCATGTACAATAGAAAACAATTTGTGACAACGCCCAGAGGCACCAAAGAAAACTAAAACAACACAGGAAAAAGGATATGATAGGACATAAAACACAAAAGCATTGCTAGCGAGCGCGATAAGCTCTTTTTAAAAGACTTGTTTCCAGCAGTTCGTCATACTTGCGTCATGATCGCTATAACTAGCAGTAAGCTAACTGCGCAACATCCGTCTCGTCACTTTAAAGTTCACGGATTTTACAAACTGAGACAAAATTACTCCAATTTATAAATATCGTAATATGGCGAACTTTGTTCGAAAACTACTCCATGTCAACTCACAACAGATAAGAACAGTTACGGTTAGATATGCTAGCGACTTGGGTAGGTTTTCTTCAATTAGTATTATTTTTTTATACATACACGTGAAGCTAATCACTCGTTAGCGATGTCCCACAAAAGTACATATGATATTATAAGATGTTACACGAGTGTTACAAAACCTGCCTGAGAAGGAGTTATAAAATCATCGAGGTCTGTCAGCTGCAGCACACCGCTGAAATGAGAAGCCATATTTACTGCCGTAAAGTTTACTCGTATGTCGCGAATAGCAGGG